GAAGGGAGCCTCACACTTCATGTGCAATAGAAATTTTAAAGGCATTTGAGGGCCTCAGGAAAAATGAAATGATTCAATGACCCTCTCCCTCCTCTGGAAGTAACATTTAACACCACCCCACCCCTTTATTCTGTAAAGAACCACAGAGTAACTATTGCATGCTTTGCAGGATTGCATTACCAATTACTTGTTCTTGTCACTGTATCACAAAATAGATAAAATGCAAACCAAAGGATGTGGAAAAGTTCTAATAAAACTTTAGTCACTGAAATTCAAATTTCCTTATTTTCATATATCACAGAATAAAAATTTTTTCCAACCTTTAAAAAATTTAAATACAAAAATAACTCTTAGCTTGTAAGAGCCAGATTTAGCCCATGGACCACGGGGCTTAGTCACCACTGGCTTAACAAATAGAAAGTCAGTTACTCTGATAATATTGGTATTCTTTTTGTTACTGCCAATATACATACACTTTTTGACTCTGTGAATCATCCTAAAACGAAGATGTCCAGCTCATATATTTTCAGAATCTAGGGGTTTCGTGCTCTCTTTAACCTTGCTTTAAGGTTAATTTTCAATTCCAATTCCTTCTTCACTCCAAAATCCTTCCCCCTTGGTTCCTAAAATCTCATCTCCCATAGAGGAATACAGCATGACCAAGCATAGAAATTCACACTAAATGTTCTTTGCATTTTGTTTAGAATAAAAAGGTTCTTAAAAACCCTAAAACAAATCAACTGTATATTAAATAAATTACAAACTCCATGATCAAATCAATGAATTCTCCATTGACATTAAGAAGGTTGGAGTCACCATTAAGTGGAAAAAATAGGGAGAATTATAGTATTTATAGTATGATTACATTTTACCATTTATTTAAACCGTGGCTTGATATTTAAAAAAGCTTATTTTTCCTGAATAACTCATTTTTTTTTTTTTTTGGTTTTTTGAGATAGGGTCTCATTATGTAGCCCAGGCTGGTCTCGAACTCACAGCGATCCTCCTGCCTCAGCCTCCCAAGTGCTGGGATTGCAGGTGTGTGCCACCATGCCCGGCTCTT